CGCTGCGGGAGCACGCCGGGCCCGTCCTCTTCTTGGAGGAGGACCACTACCTGGCGCCCGACTTCTACCACGTCCTCAAAAAGCTCTGGGCCCTGCGCCAGCAGGAGTGCCCCGAGTGCCAGATCATCTCGCTGGGCACCTACAGCCCCGTGCGCGGCGGCTTTGCCGGCCGCGCCAACAAGGTGGAGATGAAGACGTGGAAGTCCACCGAGCACAACATGGGCATGGCCTTCGGCAGAGACACCTATCAGAAGCTCATCGAGTGCACGGACGCCTTCTGCACCTACGATGACTACAACTGGGACTGGACTCTGCAGCACTTGACTGTCTCTTGTCTTCCAAAGTTCTGGAAAGTGCTGGTTCCCGAAATCCCCAGGATTTTTCACACGGGGGACTGTGGCATGCACCACAAGAAATCCTGCAGACCGTCCACCCAGAGTGCCAAAATCGACTCTCTCTTGAACAGCAACCAACAGTACCTGTTTCCCGAAACGATGAGTGTCAGTAAAAGGTACTCCATGGCACCCCTTTCCCCTCATGTGAAAAACGGAGGGTGGGGAGATATTAGGGACCACGAACTCTGTAAAAGTTACCGCAGACTTCAGTGAGGACCGTTCTCGCAGCCTTTTTCTTTTTGAGTTGTTCCATACTGTCTTTTACAGGCACACACGTGTATAAAAAGCATTTATGAGTTGGTTTCTGCTTTAATATGAATAAACATTCTTGTAAAAGGTGTCCCAAAATGGTCATCTTTCATGTTCGGCAACCACGTTCTGGAAACGGGTTCCTGCTGCTGCCGGGGCTGCTCGGAGCGGCTTCGCAGCCCCTACGCAAAAAGTGCCGCTGCTGTGTGTACTGGGAGGAGAAAATGTGGATGTAAGTGCATCTTTCATGGTGCTCACGGTGCTCTGGTGTGGGATTTTTCCCCCCCCATCGGTAGCAGGGCGGTGGTGCCTCCAGTGCCGGGCTGGGAGTGGTGAGGAGCGAGCGAGGGGATTGAGCTCTCCTGGAGCTGGGCTTCGCACGCCGGTGGTGCCAGCACCTCCCACCAGCCCTCCGGCCTGGAGTCACCTCGTGCCTGATACCTCCGTCCTGGTTTGGTTGCGATGTGTTGATGAATATATGAAGGAAAAAAATATCATTGTTTTTACTACAATGTAGAGAAATATACGATTTTTTTAGTTCTGCCAAAATAAAATTCAGTTGTTTTGTAATACCAGAGAAGTTCTTGATTCTCACAGAAAGATGATGTCATCTCGTGTTGCTAGAAATTCAGGACTGGAGCTGGAGGTGGGGCGGGAAGAGCATCTTTTCTTTAATCCAGAGGGCTGAGCACATGCCATCACCCCTTCTAGCACTGCGTATTTAACTTCATTAATTTTTTAATGATACTCACTAATTGAGGCAGAATAGAGTAACAAATGCGTGGCACAACACTTCTTTTGTTTGGATCAAAAAAAACCCAAAAAAACACGTCGCTTTCAAACTAGTCAGCTGTGTAAAGCGACCAGTAAAAAATAGTGCTGTGTAATGGAAACACGCTGAACTGGAGCCGAAAGCCAGGAATAGGAGAGAGCCGCGGCGTTCGTTAACGTCTGACGCTTCCTCGCCCGTTTGAAGTCTGCTTTAATGGCATTCCGCTTTGAAACACAACTGGTGGCAGTGGCACAACTGGTAGCAGTGGCACGTGAGCAGAGAAGTACGGTGCAGAAAGCAAGCACTACGCTAAAGTGACAGACGTGAAATGTTTACGGGTAGGGTTTAGACCGAGAGATTTGGAGGGGGGGAAAAAAAGGTTCATTTCTTTTTTTAATTAGAGAAAATGGAGTTGGTGCTCTTTGGCTACAAGAGCTACTTTGAATGGAAGGGGTGTAGCAAGGCTCTCCTTTTGCCACGGTTTGTCACCTGCTTTATGTGAATACGTCGGTTAAACGTTCACTTGAGAGCGCGCCAAGTTTTGCGGAACACTCAAAGTGGCACGGAGAGGTTGATTTTGACAGCACTAAGCAGCTCTCTTTTTCCAGGGGTAATTTAACTGCCACCATTTTGCCCCAGCTGGGGTACTTGCTATGTTTTTGCAGTTTCACAGAGTCAGGGCCGATGCTGAAAAAGCTGTGCCTGTGCCTCAGCCCTGCGATTCCTGCCACGAGGAGCTGCACGAGTGTGAGACAGCTGATCGGGGTCCAGCTTCACCCACCTCCCCTCCTCCAGCTGGGCCAGTGTGTCCTGGAGGGTAGGGCAGGTGCTTTTGGCAGCTGTGGCTTCCACTGAACTTCCACTTACACCAGGTACCCCCACTGCAAGCACTTGCATTTAACGTAGTAATGTAAGAGTAATTCCAGAGCAGCTGTGAAACAAGTCAGATTTAACTTTCTTCTAAAGCACATTTGTGTCTTGTACAACTCGGAACCAGAAGTTGTTTCAGAAGCAGGGAGAAAGGGAACTGAAAGTTTGTTATTATTAGGCATGTTCTTTTGGTTATCGCACTCTAGAGAGATGAACCAGCAAACAGCACGCCGAAGCTCATGGGGGAACTGTTTTTTGAAAGTTAATCTAATCTGGACAAAGTGAATCCATTTTACAAATTGTACACATTAGTAGCAGACATGCAACAAGAGAGGATGTTTTTATTGTGAAATTGAATTTGTTCGGTTGACAGGCTGGGGTGTGTTTGGGTGCTGTGTTCTGAAGTAATGTACTAGGATGGAATACATGGTATAAATGTTGATTATTTCTAAGAGACTAATTAGAACCTCCCATGTAATTAGAAATTTCATTTGATTGCTAAAAATCAGTGCAAGTCTAATCCTGCAGATACGACAAAATGAAAGCTTTGAAAAATGATGAATACTGCTCATTTCTAGGTGGACTAAACACAGCAATTCCCGAGGGAGCCTTTGAAAAAAAATATATATACAAATACTCCCTGTAATGCGGCAAGAGACTAAGTTAGTTAATTATGTAAACAATAAAGATGCATTTTCTTCCACGAGCTCAGATTCACCTTCAACTGCATCTTTCTTGTAAGTAAAACTATTTGAGCTCCGACATATGATTAGAAAACTCAGATCTGTGAACTTCAAAAATGGTTAACAACGTAAGTATTCTAAATTGCCATACAAACAAAAGAGTTTCAGTAGGAACCTGTTCTACTCTTAGCCCTGCAGTCACAAACCAGCATGTGGAAGTTGCAGTAAGCATCAAACAACAGAAGGAAATCCTAAAATAATTCAACTAATCCAAATCATACAGCAAAGAATTCTGAAAGGCGACTGGGCAGCGCGTTACGTGATCCCTAACGATCTGCACGCTCCCATCCTGCGTGTTCACTTCTTGGAGAACTGGGGAGGCCGCTCTGCTGCCCAAGCTGCGCTGGTTCCCCCGTGCCCACCCTGCGGGCGCAGCCGCTTC